ATACTGCGTCAAGTACGATATTGCTTTATTCCAATATTTAATTCTTTTATCTATTCAGGCAATTTTTTTTAATTCAGTTAAATTTTAAAAATTACATCCTATTTTTTTACTAGCTTGCTAAGAACTATCTTGAAATTAATGAAAACTTTTGAATTCTAAGAAAATAAATCATTCATATTAATATTTTCATAATGAATGCTTTTAGTAATGTAATAGTAAATACACTAGGAACAGCAAGCAAACTAATTACAGATCTAATTGATCTAATTGATCGTGAAAACCCTAATAAAGAAATAATTCTTGGAGTATTAGATCGCATTTCTATAACTGAATCCATAATAAAACACTTAGAATCTAACGAAGAAATAGCTCAAATATATAATAAAGATTTAAAAAAATTGATTAATATTTTGGATAAAATCAGAAATTTTATTAGGACTATATCACAAAAGAAAAACGTACCAAAAGCTACTGAAATTAGCGAGCATTTGAGTAAACTAACCAAGGAATACGACGATTGTATTATGGCATTAAATTTTTCTATAACTATTGATAATAGAAAATATATGAAAGAAATAGCGCAAAGCATTCATGAAATAGAAGAAGTTAGAAAATCAAACCTTATTAACAAAGATCTAAGTGAAGACAATTTTTCAAACCAACTAAATGATCCTCTAAAACCAATTACTAGCCTTTCCAAACAATCTGAACAGATAGATGAGATTTTGACCGAAAATGAACAATCAATAACTGATGTTGAAATTTTAATTAAATATAAACAAAATGAAATTATAACTAAAGAGCAAGAATCTAAATTTCCTTTTGTTAGTAAAGAAGAAAAAATCCAGCTGGAAAAGCAAATAGTTGAACTAAAGAATCAAATAGTTAATCTACAAACCCTTTTAAATAGGAAAGAAGAAGAATTGGTCAATTTAAGAAAAAAAAATCATGTATTGGTAGAACAGTGTCTTTACTACTTAACACTTATTAAGTCTTTTCGAGAAAAGCAAAAGATTATAAACAAATTAAGAGAGGAAGCAACTAAGAAAATCCCATCCAACGAAGAAATAGATAATCTACTTTATTTAGGAGGTGAATTTAAACAATTAGAGATTGAATTAGAAAAAATAATTAATGAATTACCATTAATTAGAAACAAGCTTTTAAAAAAGAGATATTTTAATATTAATCAACTACAAGTAAACGAAACAACAATAGTCAATTCAGACAAAGTAATAGCAGAACTTAAAGGGCATGATTTTTTTGAAGATGATGATCTTTCTTATTTAAATGAAGAATTGCAAACAATAATTGATAATTCTAATAAAAACGCAGTTAAGAATGCTTTGCTTATTATAAGAGCGAGAAATAATCATTCAAATTTATCTAATTCTCATAGTATAACTAAACCAAAAGAAAAGGAAATAATTGAAAAGACAATTATTTTCTTAGAAAACAACCAAATTTTTTTAAACACCCGTCAAGGAACTGTTTTAAAGTTACAAGAATGTTATGAAAATTATAAAAGCTCTATTGATACTGGACCATTTTCCATCTTTACTGGAGCAAAAGACATAGTAACTTCTATAGGTGACGCAGTTCCAGTTGCTGGTAGTGGAATTAAGGCAGTAGGAGGAGTAGGGGGCGGTGTAGTTAATCTTTTTAAGAATAATAGCCTGAAAACATGTAGAGATAATTTTCAAAAATATTTATCAAATGATGAAAAAAAGTTATTTTGGCTTAGAGACTTTTACCAATCTTTGACTGATGTTTTATATAATGAAGAACTACCACTAAGTTCAACTGTTATTAATATTTTAAAACTGGAAAAGTACAAAAAAGAAAGTTCATTTAATGATAAATATAATATTCGTAGAATCGTTTCAGAAATTACTTTTCAAAATGAAAATACACTTGAATTAAGAGAAATGAAGCAAACGCTTATTTCACTTAACTCTAATTTAGCGAAACTAAAGGCAGAGTTAGAAGAAGAAAGAAATAAAATTTATGAGCTAATTCAAACTCTGACCACATAATTTAAATAGTCAAGATTTCGGGTATTTTATGAAAAATTTTGTCCATTTTTACTAGTATTTTATTCATTTTTCTATAGTAATGTTTATTCTATGAAATTATTTTTATATTCTAACTAGAGAATGTGCATGCGGGCGGCTCCGCCGCCCGTAATTTTGAATTTTATTATTCATGTGATTATGAAATAGGTTGGTTACATGTGACATGATGATCAATGATTTAGGGTATAAAAGGGTTGGAAAAAAAAATTTTTTTTAATTGTGTTCTAGTTTAAGAAATTTTATATTGACGATAGTCGGGAGTTGTCAGGCTTGAAGTATTTTGGATTGGTTGGTTAGTGAAGTTTATTATGTTGGTCTGTTTAGTGGTAGTGATTCACGGGCTTCGAGCTCCAATCGTCTATATTCTCTGATCATGGATTGGTCTGTGATAAAAGCAGTGTTATCTAGCGACTGTATTTTTAAGTGATTCCAGTTAGTACAGCGGCTCAGTGCCACATATGCTTGGCCAGGTGCGAATATTTGGTCGTCTAGGTTCAGTGATACATCGGGGAGTGTAAGTCCTTGTGTTTTGTGGACAGTTAAGGCAAATGCATTTTGTATTGGGAATTGGGTTCGACTAGCAGGTATGCCATTTATATCGAAGTTGCTTGTGAATTTTGAGAATGAAGTATTTATGATAGCTCCTTCTATACAGAAACTTACGTAGACTAGGTCTAGCTGAGGGTCAAGGTCCGTGATTATACCTATAGTACCGTTTGCTATTCGGTGTTGATGTTGTGAATTGGTGAGAAACATAACTCGTGCACCAGGTTGGATTCTAATAGTTTCTGGTAGGTTGGTTTTGTTTTTAAATTCGCGGAATATTGATTTGTCATTACATATTCGGTTATTAAAGACGTCGATGCTGTTGGAGATCATGAATTTGTTTTCTTGGGTGGGGATCATGGTGCACATTAATCTGTTAATCAAGTCTGCATTTTTCCTGTAGCCTACTATGTGTGTGATATTAAGGGTGGTGTTTAATTCAGATGATCTGATTGTTTCGTGGTTTTTTTGGGATAGCATTTGCCATGTTGTATTATCGATCTTACCCATTCTTATTTTTTGTAGTAGGTTATAGAATTGGGTGTCTTGGCTTTGTCTTTGGGGCTCGCGGAGAAATAGTGGGTAGAAGATTTTCCAAATCGGGGATTGGTAGACGGGAGAGCCAGTGACCAGAGGTAATTGGGCCAGATCACCGACTAAAATAACGTTGATGCCTCCGAATAGGGTATTGTTTTTGTGTAATGATTCAAAAAGTTCAGAGATGTATGTTAGGAGTTGGCCCGATACCATGGATATCTCGTCGATGATGAGAGTGTTTATTTGAAGGAGTGAGTTGTTTAGATCACGGTCATGAAATGCGAGAGTTCGGAATCCATATTCATTAGAGATGATTCGTAGTGCAGAGTGAATCGTTGATCCACCGATGTTTTGTGCAGCGATTCCGGTTGGTGCTAATAATAAGTAGCTTCGGTTGGCTCTTTGAAAATCTTCTAATAATAAGTGTATCATGTAGGATTTTCCAGTGCCTGCTGAGCCTGTGATAAAGAAGAAGGGATAGTGTGAACCGTCTTGTGGACCTAGGTAGTTATTTAATGTTTGTCGGCAGTGGTATTGACTAGGTGGTAAGTTTATAATGGAGTTGGTGTTTATAATTCGTGGTAATATTTTTATGGAATTTAATTGGATTTCTATTATGTTTAGGATATTTGTTGTTAGGATTGAGTTTAGTGATGAGGTTATTGTTTCGATTAGGGTGTTGAATTGGTCTAAGGCATGTGATGTTTGTCTTAGCGTAAATTCGTTATTTTGTTCGTGGATAGATTGGTATACGGTTGGAAAATGAGCAAGGAAATGGTCTCTGTAATTCTGGTAACCACCTAACATTTCGTTTTCAGATCTGCACGGAAATTTTAGTAGAAGCTGTTGATAAAAGAATAATTCACCATGTTCTATTCATAAAGATCACATACGTGTGAGTATTTGGTTATTGCGTTTGACAACAAAATTTCTGAGATTATCTTGATATACTGTTCTGTTAGATGTGTTTGGACGAGTTGATTTTATTTTGTAGGTTTCAAAGTAGGTTTTATATGACATGTTGTCAAATATAGGGTCGCGTGGTCATGCGAAGTATTTTTCGATTTTATCGTTCCAATAGGGGTCATCTTCGAATGAGTCGAGCATATATAACGGAATAACTGCTTTTGATCGAGTGGACGGAGGATCTGTAGTCAGGTATTGAACTTGTATTGATGAGTTCACTATACGCTTACCAAGTAGTAGAAACATTATCTCCATTGAGCCCATTCGTCGAGCATGAATGTATTCACGATAGTGTATCTGTTCACGTACGTTGAATAAATGTGTAGGTTCTGATTTGCTTATATATTTTGTTATGTATCTGGCGAGTCCTTTGTTAGTTACATATTGGATATTCATATGAGCATTCCATATCATTAATGTAGGAGCATGATACGGAACTATCCACTGATCTTCTGGTTTTAGGCATCTGTAAGTATATCTGTAGTTACTTGGGTCGTAAAATGTGTATTCGGAAATAGGACGAGGAAATCCTTTTTTGCATGTTGATCCTGGTGGGGCTGGACCTTCGCATTTAGAGTTGCATGTATGTGTCTGAAAATTACGGACTTTTTGGTAAAGTTCTGGTTCTAGGTTAGGGTCGGGAAGGGTTGATCGAATGGTATTTGAATTAATCATTTCTAATATATTTGATGTTGTCCAGTAAACACCATGTAGATGTGCTGCTCCACGGTTTTGAAATTCTATTCTGTCAAAAAAGTGAGAGTAGGTTCCCCATTCACTAACGTTTGGATCTTTCCAAATGTATTTTTTGATGTTTTGTAGTCTGTGAATGAAGTGTAATGTTGCATGTAATGGTCTGTTGGTTGGCAACGGGTCTTTATTATCCGTGTTAGCGAGTATGTTGTGAAGGTGAGTCCACGAACCTTCGGCCATTGTTAACGTGATGAATATTGTTGGGAGGCCAAGTTCGCGGATCATTGTGTTCAGATGCATATTTTATTTTTGAAAGTAACCATCACCTGTACGAATGAATGTAGGGATTGGTGATGTTTTTGTTTCGCTATAACGCCAACCGTTAGTATAGGTGCTGCGTTCGATAATTTCGATAGCCGTAGGTGGGCGGTGAGTCTCATCAGTCGTGGATTGTCTGATGAGTCGTTGAGTATTTTGGAAATTCCTTAATTTTTCCAGTTGTAGATAAGCCCATGCAGGCCAGTAGTGATGTAGTCGAAATCGAGAATCTTCAGAAAGTAAGCGATGTTTTATATATTTTCCTAGAGTGTCGTGGCGTCGTTGTAAATTTTCTAATTGGTTTCGCATATCATAATAGTGGCCACAACCATCAGGATATAGGTCTGGAAAGAGTAGTGCTTCGAGATGCGGATCGTTTAGGGCGATTGGGATTCTGTTTATATTATCATTGGCCACAAATCCAGCTATTAAGTGATGATAGTTTGCATCTTCATTGTGGATTTCGGTGGGAAAATTTTGGTGGGGGACCACTATATCTCTGTGTCGAACTGGAGGTGTGTTTTCATCGACAGATGAATGGAGAGCCACAGGAAATTGGAGGTTTGAATTTAATGTTGGTGGAATCATTAGCGAATATTGGCGTATGTATGGATTGTTTTCCTTAAGCCAATTAGTAGCGTTGATCAGAGTATTGTTAAACCAGGGAGGAAGTACAAATGGAGTAGAAGTCGGAGAGGTAAGGTAAGCGCCTAGTAAGCCTGAATATAAATTCAGGGAATTGTAGTTTTGTGAGTAATTCATAGTACCCACTAGCGTTCTGTATTCAGAAAAGGGATTGGCTCCAGGTGTTCTACCTAGAGAACAATGGAGAAAAATAAGAGATAAGTGTTTGCGTAATTTTAATGGTACTGATTCGATTTCGGTTGGAATCGGATATAGGTATGGTGGATAATTTCGTGTCGGGTTTGATTTGCATGAGGGACATATTGCGATACGGTTTGCAGGTGGAACCGGGTTTGTGATTAATGATCTATAGTTTTCAAGTGGATACAGAGTGTTAGGATTTCGATGAATCCACATTGATTTTTCTGGGTACATGAGTCTGGAGCAAATAGAACAGGGAACACATAGAAATTGAGAAAGAATAGTGGTTTCGAATTTTTCTATCAGTTCTCGCATTTTTTCTGAGATTACCCATGGAGATATTTCGGGGTAAGGTGGATCGTCGAATTGGGCATTGTTTTGGTTAGAGTGTTGTGGTTGTGAGTTATTATCATTGGAAGTTAGATCAATTATTTCTTCATTGTATTCTAAGGGTTCGATTTTGAGAATCCTATGTACGTGGAATGACATATTTAAATCAAAGAAATTCGGTTTATCAAAAGTATTTGGTTTAACAAAGGTATTGTTTTATCAAAGATATTTGTTTTATTAAGCGATTTGATTATAGAGTTATTTAAATCATAGTTGGAAATTTGGTGGTATTTATAATTGAGAAAGTATTGATGTGATCCAGTAGCATTTGTTTAAAGTGAAATTAATTTACAGTAATAATTTAATAGATAATACTATTAATTGTATTTATGACTATATTAGGAAGTCAAATATTTTTTGTATTATTGAGCGTATACGGTAAAGATGTACAAATCCTTATTTAAGTGTATATACGTATACATTTTAAATATTTTAAATAAAAAGTTAAGGCATGTTTATCAAATATCCCAATAAGTATCTGTACGATCGTCGATATTGACGTATCGTTGTGCTATAGAAAGGGTTAGTCGTGAAATTTTTAAGTGTAATTTAATTTAGATTTGTTTAACAATTGTATTTATCTATTCATTTATTTATTGCATTTATTTTGGTTAGAGATACGAAAAATCACCGATATAACAGTGTTTTTAAGATGATTTTATTTTGAGAGTCGATCTGGCCCGGAGGTTGGCAGTATGGATTTATTTTGCATTTTTGGAAGATAAATATTCTGGCTTTTATTTATTTATTGATTTTATTTAACTTTACTACATCGAGGCAAGACGTCATGGGATTACGAATCGGGATGAGTAATAATTGGTAATCGTTGATGTCATATGCGAAAGTTTGATTATGACTTTTTTTTATATACGATTATTCATATAAAATAAAGAAGGTTTAGGATTAAGAAATAGGAGACACGGCAATTGAATTTATTTCAAACATTGATTAGTTGATTTAGTTTACAGGTAATAAGTAATCATTTTTGTAATTCGTGTGATTTGTGTTATAATTTTAGATATATAATAATATTTTATTTGTTATTTATAAGAATGTAAATATAAAAATAATAGATAAGAATGTAAATATTTATAGGTAAATATATGAATATATATAATATTCATTAAAACTATTTGTAGAAAAACTATCTGTAGTATTTAAAGAAGGCATAATCCGGTACGTCGAAGGGGTACTAATTATTATTTATTATGAAAGAATAAAAAAAAAAAAATAAGATTAATGATTTTTAAGTCAAGTACGTATTGATGTGTGTAAATGTTAATATACTTATTTATTCGGTAGCAGTTTGATTAGATGTATTCGGATCCGAAAGTTTATTTAGAAGATCATTTGCCAAATCAGTAACCTTTGGACGAGAGTTGGTTTTAAGATACGGTTTAGCGGTAGGTGTGGTTTTTTTGCGTCGGGTGCTTCCTTTGACTCTTGTGGCTATGGTTTGAGCGATGGTGGAGGCATTTTGCTGATTCGTATTATTTTGGTCGGTCGATTCCCATGAAAATTGCATCGAGTTATTTTTTGTAATTATATTTAATTTCTGGTATTCCGGAAACGAAACAGCACGAATATGAACTATGTTATCATCATCGGTTATCATGAGTTTGCCGTTAATATAGATTACAGAATCTTTCTTTATAGCAGCGGTCGTATTTGTTAAATATCGTGCAGAAGTGGGATGATAGCATGTTAGTTTAAGATTAACATAACCTTGGTCCACATAATTTTTGGTCAAAACATTAACGACTACATCTTCGTTATCGATTTCCGGGTCTTCTTGAACTAATGCCGTTATGTTGATTAATATCGGAAATGCAGGTAAATTGTTAGGATCAAGGGTATTAAAACGAACAACATCGTTTAAGGTAATCTTTTGTTAAAAGAAAAAAAAAAAATTAACCTGAACTGTTGTCAATAGAAATTAGGCAGATTACATTTCCAAAAAAATTCATATCTTAACTTTCATAGCTTATGTCTTGATGAATTTTTTTTAAAATGCAATCTATCTAATTTTTATTGACAGCAGTTTATTTGTTTTTCGATCGAATTTTTTACGTTTAATAACAAAGTAAATTATACTTTTAATATGGAATATTTTTCATCGTTTTGGCCCGTGCCTTCAACGATACGAAAATTTCCAGTAGCGAGCACCACATCTTTGTCCTCAAATTCAGGTAAATTTAATTCTTGAATAGTATCGTGGTGGTAAAACCCAGTTAAAATAACGTTTAGGGAAGAGTCTAGACTTCGGGATCTTACAACACCCGAAGCTTCAACTATTGAAAGATTTTTATTAGGAATTAATTTTTTTTGGTAACTCGTCACGTAACATAACACGGTAATGGAAGCTGGCATTTTTTTTTATTTATTTTAATAATTGATGAGAGAATTGAAGAAAAATGAACGAGGAAAAAACACGGCTATTTATTAATCGATTATTTATTTTAATTTTTATTTTTTAGAAAAAGACATCAATTCTTTCATATGATTCAGATAATTAGTAACGGTACAGGAATATTATATAGATTCTATAACATTTCATTGTTTAATCAGGAAATTTTTTTTTAAAACACGTTTGTCTGTTCAAAGAATTCGAGATAACAAGCATATACATGATATTTTAATCATCTGCGCGTTATTTGAGTATACCCATACGCGTTATTTTCAAGTCTAATTTTTTATGTTACAAAAAATTAGCCGACGTATGGATTGCTGTCAATAGAAATCAAGCGGATCGACACCTTAGAAAAAAAAGTCAATACCTTGGCTTTCACAGTTCACATCTTGAATTTCTATGTTAGCTTTTTCTTTTCAGCATCAGTTCAATAATCAAGTTGGATCGAGATATGAGCTGTGAAAGCCAAGGTATTGCCTTTTTTTTCTAAGGCGTCAATCCGCTTGATTTCTATTGATGGCAGCCCGCATAATATGGCGTTAAGGTAGTTATTATTTACAGTAAAAAGAATCATTTTTTTCAAGGCAACAAAAAGTTATTTTTAAAAGGCTGCAATCTTCAAAACAACGCAATTTACTGTATCAAAATAGTCACAAGGCTAAGATCGATCGTTTATCTAATTTAACTAATTTATACACCAAATTTAGATATCGATTGGATCATCTTCGTAAGTTATAAGGTGCCAGGGGTGTTGAATGTATATCCAATTATAAACATAGCGCATGTGTAATTAGCGATGACGTAGCGGTAATGCGAATAGTAAAACACACTTAGACCGTAACAATTCTTGGTTTGTCAGGTTCATTTTAATGTACTTCTTTATTTAAAAAAAAAGCAGCCATACCTTCTTTAATTTGTTGTTGTCTGAATGAAAAAAAAACACAGCGGGAAGGTTTAATTTTCACACAAAATGGTTGTTTTTGATGTTTTTTTTAAAAAAATATCAAACACGTAACTTGAACATCTTGTCAACTACCATTATAATACAAAAAAAAAATACAGGTAGACAAACTTAGGAACTCGAGATCTTTCTATTTTTATCTTTATTTTCCGACGATGACGACAAAAAGTCGAACTCGACAAAAAAGGTTAACAAATTCTTCGCCACGAGCGAACATTCGTGTGGTCTTTGACGATCAATGATTATCAATTAATCTGCCCTATAAAAAATCCGACAAAAAAACAAAAAAAAAGCGCCGAAACATGCCTACAAATCTAGGGTAAGGGCAATAAAACAGCAAAGATGAAGTTCTTTTATCACCATTTGCATCGTATCATGCCTTTTTTTTTATTCTTGCTGCGAAAACAATAATTCTTCTTGTACCTGCACTTGCACTTGTACTTGTACTTGCACTTGCACTCGCTAATGATGATTCTTAAAGTATTACAAAAATGACGGGATGAAAATTTCCTTTCTTGGAATTACGAGGAAATTTTATCCGTAAATCATCTGCAGGAAGACGTTACGAGCTACAAAAAAGTTAACAACCTAAACCACTTACAGCACGAATAAATACATATACGGAAAAAATGATCTGGTAAAATTGAGAATCTTTAAATATATTAATATCGAAATCAAATATATATGAAAAAATAAACACGATTATACTGTATATGCGAAATCAGCCACCAAGGTCAGCTTCATTGATGTGGTAAAAAATAAAATATATAATAAAACACATGATAAAGTATACGATATAGATGTCTTTGTGGATCTGATCAACAAAGCAAGTCGTTCATCATTCTCCACATGTGGTTTTTCACGTGAGGTCACATTCTTACTGTTCAATAATTTTCCTGTCGTATGCGAAAAAATTCTTTATTAAGTTAAGTAATCTCATATTGACACTGTAGCGCCAGTGGTATCCTACGTCCATATGGTCTCTGCCCTGTGGCCGATGCTTGGAGAAGAGTGTTGTGGCAGGGTGGCCTCCCTGGACACTTCTCCAGTATACCCAACGATATTAGTATCCTACGTCCCTATGGTCTCTGCCCTTTGGCCGATGCTTGGAGAAGAGCGTTGTGGCAGGGTGGCCTCCCTGAACCTCTTCTCCAGTATACTATATTGTTGAATGCTATTGTCCTTGGAAAATTTCAGTAATTTTTTGCTTTCATTGCAATTATCTTCCAAATTACTCATAAAACGTTGTTTTTTTAGATATGAACTTTAGTCGATATGTTTCAACATTTGCAAGTGACGCTGATTGTAAAGACTGGAATTTCCTAAACTGTCTCCGGTACCTGAAAGATTATGCAGAATTTCAATTTACTTCAGACAGCAAACAAGATATCTTAGATGCATTTATTAAAGTCTTTAAGAGAATTGGTGAATCTGGTACAAATAGGGAAAAAAAAAAGGCCAAAAAAATTCATGATAGTGCCAAAGCGGTCTTCCAAACAAAAGAGATTTCTGAATTTTTTGAAGAGTTAGATAGAGAGTTTAGTGAGGTAAATAATTTATGGCTTCTGCACGACGCAGGTTCATCATATCCATTGTAATATTAACCATATTATCCTATAATTTTATAGAGACGTCTTGAAAGATCACTTGAAAATAATGGCAGTGAGCTGTTAATAAAGTCTTGTAATTTCCAGACACTGAATCATTCGTTACGTTTCAAAAAAAGAACCGCAAAATTAAAAAGGAAATATGAAACGGAGGACGAAACATCAGAAACATCTTGTGAACCAAAGTCATATAAGATCCGATCATCTGAGTCAAACATCTCAACAACATTAGTAGAAAGCGAAGTTATGAGCAGAAGTTCAACCTCAGATCAAACCTATGATTCTCCTTCTGATTCTGAAGGTTCCATAAAAGCAAAGAGGTCATTTTATCTTGATTATTTCATAGGACCTGGTGAAATTGATTGGGAACTAAAGGAAGATTCTACCGTGGTAAATAATAAAAATGTTTTATAGACTATGTAATATATTAATATAAATTTAACTCTGTATTATCTCTTAACAGTGGGTTATTGGAGAAGTAGATATTTCTAAAATTTGTGTGGAATTCCGACTTCTGTAATACAGAAATGCAAGTCAAAGGAGATCTTAAGTACCGATGAAGAACTGTACGTATTGTTTGTTTTTTGGATAGTTGAAGCATTCATGATTAACTTATTTCATCCATAGGGCCCTAAACCATATATTTCTTTTCCAAGAAGAGAATGCGCAAGGACTTTATGAATATTTTGATGATGAATCATGGAAGTGCGTTTTCTCAGAGATTCGTACACAATATCTTTATATTAGTGTTCCAGAACATGTCCTTGATTTGTGTGGAACAATTGTGAAGGTAGAGAGTGAACGTAGAGTTTTTAATGGAATATATGCAGTTTAATTATTTGAGTTATTGTACATTTTCAGATCGCGTCTCAAGAACAAGACCCACAAAGACGTCGATCCGAAATTAAGGATTTTCTAAGAAACTATAAGACGAATGGAGAGCTCGAAGAAATAATGCACAATATACTCTTTAATTTGTATGTGTCACTAAAATTGCATATTATAATAGAAAACTACAAGTACACATCCTAATACAAGTCCTGCACATTTTAGAGTTGACCGTTATCAAAGTTCATTTGTCAAAAATAACGAAAACGAGGATACACATTCTCACAACTATGTTGCCCCTGTGAGCAAGCCGTTTTTTCCAGAAGGCAAAAAAACGACCATAGACTGGTACATATCCAAAATGAAGTCTGTATAAACATATTTGTTTATTTTTCATTATATTTTATATGGGCTTAGGGCAAACAAGACATCAAAATCATCTGCTCAGACAATGAAACAATTCGATCCTATCCTTTCTGGCTCAAAACCCGACTTGACAATAAGAACCATCAATCCTAAAAAATTTGTTGAATTAATGTTTGCCGAAATAAAACCACCGAATACAAGAGCGGATTTAGTAAATGAGGATCTAGTGACTTTGGGAAAAACAATGCGAGCATCATTTGATAAGTCGTTAGAAGATGGTGTTGATCTTGTTATCTGTGGATTGCATGTCTTTGGTTGGTATAGTAAGGCCAATTCCTTTCATAGAAATGCAACCTTTACGAATTTTGCCTTCACAATTTTAGGTTACCTTGGAAGATGCTATATTATCGATCTTCGTTATGATGGACTTTATCGAATGATACTGGTGGGAGAATTTAGATTTCCTGAAGATCCAACAACTTGGGGGACACTTATGAGCTATTTTCAGGTGATGGCTACAATGCAGGTAAGCAGTCTACATTTTCAAAATAACAAATACATTTATTTTTCATTGGATCACTAATCTCAATACGACTTTAGAGTCTCGTGAATGAAGGGGCAACTAAATACCAATACACTCGAAAGGGTTCAAAACAAGAAAATCCGGCAAATTTAAAATTTAAAAAGCCAATGTTTCATTTCCCAATGAAGGTATATAATATCATATAATTATAAATATAATTAGAATGGGTTTTCATTCGCTTTACCTGTTTTTTGACAATATGCTTGTATCAAGGTGTATCAAAGAAATCATAATAACATGTATGCCTTACAAAAAATAACGCACTTGAGATTTTTCTATAAAAAGTCTGTCACTAGAAAATATATACATATAAAAATAAAAGTTTTACGTTTACTCAATAAGACTATATAAGTAGGTTGGAAGTAGATATGTCGGCAGTATTACCGGGCGTATCAACTATTTGTTTAGGAATACCTCCAGTAGAATGGCTTGGGTTTGAGCTTCTCAAAATCGTGTTTTAATTTGGTACTTCATCTTTAAGCTCAACATTTTCAACTTCGAATTCTGCAATTCTGGCATTAACAAATCCAATTCGGATTGTATGTTTGATTTTAAAATAAAAAATCACGCGTGCGTCACAATTTGTAATGCCGAAAAAATAAAAATAAATTCGGGAAAAATATATGTATATTTGCTTTATTGTTACAATAAAAATATATGGATGCCAAGTACATGATAAAATAATAAAATACGTAAACGGAATTGGCCATCTATTTGTTAGATTTTCGTATACGATGTTTCTTAATTTCATGCTCATCACACATTGTAATCCTATCCCAATTACCGTTTTTACACCTTTCCTGATCGATTCAAGATCCTCCCTCAATGCCGTTTTGGATAAATTAATCCGATATTCACTTTTTCCAGAAAAATGAAAAGCGATTCCACATTAATATCTTTGTTACATGGACAAATTATGGAAATTATGTACGTATAACGACCAAATCGTTAATTCTGATTTATTTTTATTTAACGTTAATTATTCGAGAATTATCGCATTCACATCGCTTATATATTCCATTCGCTACTTTTTTGCATGTCTTACAATATAGATGTGAATGGTGATTGCATTCGTCACAAACCTTACACCCATGCTTCCATCCTCTAAAGATATGCCACTTTTCGATGTAATTTCGATTTTTTTTATTTGTTAATACGTTACTCTTATCTTTCATTGTTATATATTAGCCGAAAAAAATATATACGTGTTCTAATTTTTTTATCATTCAAACCTGCAATTAGTTGATACTCAATATTGCTACCGTTATGTAATATCAATAATGTAGTACATACGTAAGTAAAATTCATTTTCCCGTTGATCTTCCTGATAATGCAAATAATTTTTTGTTACTTCAACAGATCAACCGCCTATACTAGATATATTGTAAAAGTCAAAACAAACTACAGTAAATAAATTAATTCTTAGCAAACGAATATATTTAAAAATCAAATCATAGATAAAAGCTTTATTAATTTTGTAGATATATATGAAAATGGCCCGGGCCAGCTAAGTAGAAAATGAATATTGGAGTAGCGGTGTTTCAAGGGAGGAATTTGCTGGCCCCTAGACCATAATGTAGCAGTTCCTTCCCGCTACTCCGTATTATTAGCTAAGTTAAAATTATTTTTGCTATCGATCCAAGCACCTATTTTATTTAAAGTACTACCTCTAAAATCACCATTATTATAATAAAAATTTTTTATAGTTTCCTTACCAATCTTTCCTATCCCGAGACTATGAATCTCAACAGACACCATATTACACATATCGTCTAAAGAATAATTATTGTCTATCATAATCTTATCAAAAAGAATTTTAAAGTGGTTTCTTGTTGTTGAGGTAATATCGGAAAAAGATAATTGACTTGAGCCACTAGAAGAACCCAGAGAAGAACCAGAAGATCTTTGAGAAAATTTGGATGTAGATACGGATGGGCCAGCAAATTGTTCAGATATTAATGGTGCCACAGAACCCGTCTCAGTTATTTGGTCCAACTGGTCACGAAGGGATTCATAATTGGTGGTGATTTCATTAATAGTTTCAATCACAGTATTTACTATTGTCAGGATTCTCTGTCCCTCAACCACAATTGTGGCTTCTCGTGATGTAAGATCCGTGGTTAATCTTTTCATACATGCGTCGAGTTCTGCAGTAAGTTGCTGTCTGACGACATATGTAACAGAGCACATGGCAACGAAAATCAGATGGACAGGAATTTTCTCAGCGAACATCATTATTAACACAAAGGCCAAAAATGGTGCAATTTCTGAAACATTGATCGAAGATATCTATAACGGGAAAAAAAGATTATTAGTATAGATACACGAGTGCGGAGGTAACGTACAAACAAATTAATTAGGCTATTGTGATACTGACACCTTATTTTCGAAAAAAATTACAGGTACATTGTTTTGTTTTGGAAGAATTAGCCAGAGGCTGGCAAATGCCTAATTTTTTATTGGTTATTGCGATTTATTACTAAAGGCAATTACAAAGTGGCTAGAATGACTTATTGTTTTATTAGCCGTGCCCCCTTTGGAGATATTATTACAGAGAAAATGGTAGAGGGGTATACTAAAGATTTTTGAATCCTTTTTATACAAGATTAAGATTTCACATCTTAGAATCTAATTCATTGTCTCTGTCAGAACATACTGGAAAAAAAATGTTAATTATGTTATTATCACGTTATTATTGATTTATCATCAAAAACATGGGCGTAAATTCTGATTTTGAGAATGGGGACCTGGATCTAGAAACTTAAAAATACAAGGTCCAGGTAACGTTGAGTAAGATAAGTGATATTTATTAGCTGAAAGGTTACTTACGCTAAAGCTAGTATATCTGATGAATATTTACAATTACAACGCTAACCATCACATTAAGATCCTACCAATATACACATATATGTGGATTTTCATACAATTAATAACTGACTTCTGAAATAACATTAGGGCGATACACAATCTTATTTAGAATTTGACTTTCATAATGCTACTCAATTTTTGGTTAAGTATCAGATATAATTTTACCACTCCAAGTATATTTAGCGGTAAAGTCATGTATAATCGATCATTGACAAATCTATCCTATTTTATTAGTAAAAGTAGCAAGACTAACATATTATTCCTTATATTATAGAAACTTCGATATATAGACCAAGTACTACGTATATGCTACTGAGAATATGCTAAAAAGTTTGAGCAAAAACATGATAAGTTCGGGTATTATTTTATAGTGATCGATCGATTCATCCAAGACACGCATGGCATCAGCAGTGTATGTGACTTAATGGGATCGTGACCCAGACTAAAATTTGCTTATGTTAGATTTATACATAATATCGCTCCCCTGAGGCCCATAGGGGCGACTCAGAGAGTCATGGGCTTTGCCCTATAACGTGATAAGATTTGTATCAGAGATACTAGCTCCATTATGCGAAGCATGGGCAAGGCCCTATAAAGCTCGATATTTAAATTTACCTTTTACTTTACGCTTTAGAATAGGGCATTTCTTTACTGCTCTAGTCTTATGCGCATGTGTAACTTCTATTTCTGAACTAGATGTGGAAGAATTACTTGAATCGCTCTCTGAAGTGTCTGAATTAGAAGAAGCATCTGTGGAATATTTGACATTATTCTTACTCTTATTTTTGGAAACATCGTTATTTAATTTTCTGGATAGTAGATGTGTGGGAGGTATGTTGCAAAGCAATGACCTTTTGGGTCTATCTCCAATATTTGAGAGAATTTTGTTAATTATATTCATAACCTCCTCTTGAGCTAGACCAGGTTTAGATTCCGTTGATTTAGATAAATTATTTTTAGTAGAGCTGGCTTTGTTAAAATCTTCATCGAATAACTGGATGCTCATACTATCTATTACAATTTTAGCATGGCGGACACGGGTTTTGGGAGAATGTCCAAAGCTTATTTTTGCTTCACGCATCCATAATTAATCTTGCCTCAAAACCAGATCGAATGATGGATTTTTGTAAATTTGAAAGTCTATTAGTTCAGTATCATCTAAACTCTGCCACTTTCTTTTAATGTGAAACTGTAAATCTAAACCTTTTATTTCTTTGCCTATCAGATCATCACCAACTATACCTTCTAATCCATGATCAGATTCAAGCTTATCGAATAAGTGTTTGCTAATAGTATTATATTTAGATGTTGTATCAATTAACACTTTTACTGGGATTTTTCCTTCGACAAGAGTATTTACGAACATTTTAAATATATTTAATAATGTATTTTTTTATTACGTATTAATAAATAATTTAACATAGACAATGACTGAAAATAATAATATTGAATTAGTGCTAAAGCAACAGAATGTGATTGATTCATGTTCAGAATGTCCAATTATCACTTATGAGATTGCGAAAAAATTGGGGTTTGAAAAAGATAAAAGTTTACCCAACATAATGATAAAGTGGTATCTGATATTGTTAAGCAAGTATCAGGTAAAAAAATTTAGATTTCTCTCTGCCAATTACTGGAGATAGTGAAACCCGAGATTCAGCAAGATATTATAAACTCGATAGCAAATCTAGATATTTCTCAGAGAAATCATATACTATCTGAGGCTAAAAGAAAAAAAACAATTTTTAACAATACCGCATCCGAGTCCTCGTCTGAATCTTTATCCTCATCTGAGTCTGGGTCCAACTCTGAATGAGATAAAAGCAATTAGTAATTATATAGGTCAATGATATCCTCGACCTTACTATTTTTTTGTTTAGGTGCTGGGTATTTTGTCTGTCATTTATTACACCATGATGTTTAACTAATAAAGCATGACCTATTTTATGTCTACATGCCAATTGCCGTAAATATTGATGGCAGGAATCATTCCTACCTCCATGTACTCTGGAAGCATAATCGGTATCTATTTTTCTTAATATATATGAGGTAATTCTATGGCGACTTAAGAATTGATTAAGAGGTGCAATATTAGTATTCCCATTCTTATCTTTAAACAAGAAGGGAAATTTATCCAGTATTGATCTCTGAATCCAGATAAGTAATTCTCTTGCTCGTATTAGATTTTTTTCTATTGAAAGGAATTGCTGGAGTTCTTCTACCTTATCTTTATTTTTTGCATAACCAATACAGTACCAAGAATAGTCAGGATTATACCATGACTCACGACTTGGTTTGTATTGATTGATACAAAGATTTTTTACATCTGCCGATCACATACATAGCATTATCATTACATCTATTAGATTTTGCATTGAAGGAGACTTGGTAATATTATATTTGTTAAGTCTTTTCTGAACCTTTTCCTGGTAAAAGAACTCGGGACAATCATAACCATTAACTCCATGAAGTATATGCTTTCTTGCTTGAATCTGATTTGCTTCTTTAGTAATAAAAGGTATTTTCGTTGCCTTAGTAATGAGATAATTAGCTTCTAAGCTATGCAACTCTTTCTGTAATAAATTAAGATGAGAATTTCCTGCAACAGTAGTAGAAGCAGAAGAAGCCAAATCATATGCTATTCTATTTATTTCTTCAGGTGAGAGATTATTTTTTATAATATCTTGGGCAATAATTTTAATGGGATCTCTTTTATAAACATGTCTCCTAGAAGCTCGAATAGGAATAAGAGTATCAGCTTGTTCTTTATTCAATCCCAACTCTTAGAAGCATCTTTTGACCTGATCTCTGGCTTTTCGGGCCTGCTCTTTTGTTTTACCATCTGAAAGTTTATTAGCCAACTCTTTAGCATAAATACTAAGCTAGAGTAAACTAGTTTGAGGAGTTAATTTGTAGTAATTTACAAATGATGTAGTGATTTTTGCTATGGTTAGTATGCAAACAAAAAATCTGTGTCAGGTTTTGTCGATCATTCAACACATGATCAATTTCGGGCATATAATTTATACGTACCCTGCATGTTTGTGTAACTTCACATATATATCTCATGCATGTCCTTTTCTTTAACATAACGATACCGATACACGATACACGTACGTACGTATGTATATTTGAGAAATAGATAGGCTGAACTTTAACAAGAAAATAGCCTGTTTATTGATAATTTAGAAATAAATAA